TGTTGCCTTCTATAGGGCGAGGTCCTCCACTTTGACATATATATATATATACACACACACACACACACACAAATATACATATCTATACATATGTATGTATGTATATATGTGTGTATTATGTCTATGTAAATATATACATCATACTCCCTTAAAAGAGCGAGTATGGGTAAAACTTTCTATGAACAATTTTACCCCTAAACCTTATTTATATTATATATTCTAATTCTAATTAAATTAAATTAATGAGATTAACGACTCATTATTATGTAGCCTTTACCAATTCATCTCCACATCTCCTCTTTTGTCATAATAACAGCATATCTTTACTAAAAATTCAAAATCTCTTTCTCTTCTTTTTCAACACTCAATCTCCTTTCCTCTTCGTTTAAAAAAATTCAAATACAACTCCCCTCTCCATCTCCACCTGAAATTGACTCTAAAAAGCTCTTACTTTCAAATACCAACAACACCTCACGTATTTTTTCAACAGTACATCGATCTGTATCGAGCTCAATCCTTCGTCTAATTCCTCCTCTACGTTGCCCCCATTCATTTTATTCTTCCTTCGCCTAATAGTAAGTTTAAACTTTTTCTTAATTTTTTGGGAGATGGAAACCAAGTGAGATTTTATGTTCTCTCGGTTTCCCAATTCATAACTACATGAAAATGCAGCAAGATGCCATGATATTTTAGAACCCATCAAATTTTGCTGAATACTTTTAAGTTTTTGTTGGGATAGTATTATTTGCAAACAACCAGACTAGATATAATTTGTGTATAATTTATTAATTAATTTGCACATGTTATATATAGTTATTTAATTTTTCACATTATACCAAATATTATTCTCAGTTTATAAGTATATGGACAATGAATTTACATGTCTTATCATACTAGGAATCCTTCTGCATAATTATTTTTTTAATTCTTAATCTTTTTAAGAAATTCTTAATCTTTTTTAGAACTTTTTTATATTTGAATTCACTATTTGTAATTTTGGTTGTTAAAAGATTAAGTCCCAACTATGAAAAAGGATGTAGCTTGTGAGGATTCAGTCTGGCCTGCCCTTGTGGACATGTTGAATTAATTGGTTGGTGCCGAGATGGTGATTCATATAGACATAACTCGAGTTGAGACTATATATTTTGTAGGTATATTTGAATATGTTTTGTTGCTATTTTTCTTTTGTGTGTGGTTTCATGTAATCATGACTAAATATGTAAAAATATGTATGGTGCTTTCATCTTTTTGTTGGGGATGAAGACCACTCTGTAAGTTGAGAATGGTAGTACGGCTATTGGCTAGGGTCTTTTAAGGCCCTTTTTTTTAAGAAAAAGTATATTTGAATTTGTATAGTGTTGGTTAATTTAATGGACTATATTTAATTATTTATTGCATGAATCTACTTATTGTTTTACTTTTTCGGTAAGTATATTTGAATATGTTATGTCTCTATTTTTCTTTTGTGTGCAATCATGACTAAATCTGTAAAAATACTTATAGTGTTTTCATCCTTTTGTTGGGGATGAAAACTACTTTGTAAGTCAGGAATGATTGTATGGTTGTTGGCTGGGGTCTTTTAGGCCCTATTTTTTCTAAAAGAAGTATATTTGAATATGTATCATATTGGTTAATTTAATAGACCATATGTATTGCATGAATCTACTTATTGTTTTACTTGTTTATAAAAGAATAGTATTTGTTGATTATATGCAAGTTTTTTATAGTGTCGTATAGTTTACTTGAGAATAAAGTACCATAATTTAATATTAAATCAATGATAGAGTTTGGTTAAAGAGGATGAAAAAGTGGTCTCAATATTCTCAATTTACTTGTTTGTTATTAATTGGCAATTTAATAAAAATAGCTTTAGAATAAGCTCATTTTGGCACTATAGATTTCAATAATGATGATTAATAGCTTATGAGTGTAAGTGAATGGATACAGCTGACAGGTTTTGTATGTTTGCATAAGATAATAATATCAAAAAAATTAAGAATCTTAATGAGATCACCCTATTTTAACGATTATTTTCAATTACTAAAATTTTATTTGTTCTCTGATTCGTGGGCAATGCTTAACTTCTATTTGATCGATCAATTGATAAAGGTAGAATATACAGTATGTTATGATTTTATTTATTTATTAATTTTCTTAAAGTAGAGACCCTTTTATAAAAAAAATTTAACAACATTTAGTTTCATCATTTGTAATCATTTATTTTTTCAAAAAAATCATTTATTTTTTTTATACTTTATCTTTAAGGTTCTTTTACATTTTTCATTCATGTAGATTTTTTGAGTGCATATGGGTAATTATAAACTGTTATGATTTCCATTTATATTTTCATTAATTATTGGAAGAACATGGTATTTAAATCTGTTGTTGCATGAAGGGATGTTCAAAATACTCTCCAGGATTTTTTTACAAGTGTTGACATTATAAAAGTATGAATACTAAGAAGCATATCTTGTTACATGGGCATTTAAACCACAAAGAAATTTATTCACAAAGTAGTTTTAGTTGTTTTATATATAGAGAGCAACGTAAAATTTACACGTAGAATAACTATATAAAGTTAATTTGTTCTATGAAAACTAAAACGAACAATTAACATAGACAAAAAAAGAAATTCCACTATAAGTGTGTCCAAAAATATTTTTATAAAGAATTATGGTTTTGGTAAAATTAATTAAAAATTTAAATCTAGGATTTTAATAACAAAATTATAAGAAAAGGAAATTTTTGGAAAATTTTAGAATAGGCCAAAAATCCAAAAATGTTATTTCTAAGTCCACAAAATAAAGAACATTGTTTATAAAATTTAGGTAGTCTTATAAATTCCAAAAAATATATTTTGAAGCCAAAATGTACAGTTTAATAAAACACACATCTTTAGATTTATTATTCAACCCCTATTTCAATCAATATTCTTTTTCTGTTAGAAAATCCTTAAAATGGTGTAAATCAATATTTTTTTCAAATGATTAGAAACTTACTAGGAATAATTATTCATTTTATTAAATTAAAAAATTTATGTATGTTGTATAATTATAGGATTTGTTGATGATAAAGCTACTGGGAGTACATTTCTCCTAACAATTGAGATATTATTCAAGTGAGTAAATTTCATCTTGTTACTTATTATAAATATTTAATAAAAGTGTATCAATTATATGTAATGCTAAAAAAGTATTGGATCGGTTAGATTGATAATAGTAGAATATCTATTCATTTAATTGCAAATTCTATCTCGGCCTCAGAATTCAATAACAGTGAATTGATCAAATAACCATCCATTCTAATTCACATAGATTTACTTAATAGTTTCCATTAATTTCACTTTTAATTTGCATACTAACATTATTAACACTCAAACCTCTTCCAAATGCTTAATTCTAGATCTTTATTTTTCCCCTTTAAGTCACTTTTTCTCATATTCTTTTTCACAAAATAAATTCAAAACCTAAACAAGCGATAGTACAAGTTTATCAGATGGATTGTTTATTATTTATATAATGTTATTAAAATACTCTAAACTTTATTATTTCCCGTGAAGGCAAGAGTTTTAAACCAACAACGTTAATACCCAGAAACATCTGAAATTTTTTAATATATTTTAAACTATTTGCCAACCTAATTATAGTAAATAAAAAACTCAAACAAAACTACATGCAACGCACGTGGATCTCACCTAGTATATGTATGAATGGATGTATGTATGTATATATATATATATATATATATATATATATATATATATATATACACACACACACACACACACACACACACACATACAGATATACATAAACATATATGTGTATATACATGTGTGTGTATGTATACATGTATATATATGTGTGCGTATATACATGTAGGTATACATGTAGATACAAAACAAATAACCAAATAATATTGAAAAAAATATAGCTCACGTGATACAAGAGAGTTCATTAATATATTCTTATATTTGAAAAGCTAAAATTTGATCTTCTGATCATCAAAATTAGCCTTAAATCCATTAATATAAGGATTAAAACTATTATAATTGAATGACCAATGCATATTAGGATATTTCGGATACATCCGGATATTTTACTATATATCCATATTAGTACCTATATCCTATCGGATATAGACTTTAGCAACCATATCTATATCATGCATTCTAACAAGTATAGATATTTTTTCAAATATGGATTTTTTAGAAAGTATAGTATTGTGTCAAATGCCAAGTGCTACATAGTATTCTATTGTCTCAAACATGTATAAGCCAACATGACTACGAATTTCCTTAATTTCTTTGTCTCATATGTGGCAAAAGTGAACTCAAAGTTCTTACGGTAAATTTTCATCTTCCACGACATACAGGTTCCCTTCTATCGATGAAATCTAGAGCCTACTGTCAAACTGATAACCAATAAGTATAAGTAACACTAGCCAAATGGTTTCCTAGATCTCATAGAAAGGCCCTTCTCAGCAGCATGGTTGTGTTAACCAAGAAGTTGTCACCACTAATAGAAGTTTATGCCAGTACTGGTTTTTCAATCAAGTTCTCCGAGCATTATCAGCACTTGGTTCCCATGAACAACCCTCTTTAATTACATAGGTTTAGGTCATTTGCTAAAAAAACTCAGTTATGTAACTCATTATGTTGCGCTATGTAACCTAACCTTAAAGGTTAAATAACCTTATGAAATAACTCAGGTACGTCATAACCCTATGTTATTACGATATAATATGCATTACTTCAGTATAACATTGGGTTATTTCAATATAACATGTGTTATTTCAATGTAACTTATGTTATTTCAATACGAGTTCTAAATTTTGAGAGTATATTCATTCTTAAAACTTGAAATGGTTAAGTAATAAGTTTTGAATTGTTTGTTAAGCCGCCATGTCTTGTTTTAGCGACATCATTATGTGATCGTGAAATTATGAATTTCACTAATATAATGAATGTAAATTTGAACGAGCTATAAATTTATGATTACATACTTGAGTATTCAATTGTGATACTTCGGAGTAAATCCATATAATTTGTTTTAAATAAAAGAATTTTTATTAAAATATTTTTTGTATTATGATATTTTGTTCCTAATTCTTAAAATTATTATTAGCATGTTTTATATTTTTATAAATTAAACAGTAAGAAAATATTTTGTTCCTAATTGTACTATTATGTTTAAAATTTTTGATGATTCTAACTATTAAAGTCATTATGAATAGTTTGTATTTATAAAATATGTAAATAATTAATAAATAAAATAACTCACATTATGCGTCACAATTTTTATGTTTTTCCTTTAACCCTTAACAGGAGGAAGAGTGTTACATTATGCGTTATTGTTATTTTTATTAAAATATTTTTTGTATTATGATATTTTGTTCCTAATTCTTAAAATTATTATTAGCATGTTTTATATTTTTATAAATTAAACAGTAAGAAAATATTTTGTTCCTAATTGTACATTATGTTTAAAATTTTTGATGATTCTAACTATTAAAGTCATTATGAATAGTTTGTATTTATAAAATATGTAAATAATTAATAAATAAAATAACTCACATTATGCGTCATAATTTTTATGTTTTTCCTTTAACCCTTAACAGGAGGAAGAGTGTTACATTATGCGTTATTGTTATTTTCAACATTGGTTTAGGTATTATCCAAACACTAAGATGACGGCATTAACTTCACAAATTTTGTTATGTTTCTAAGAAAGTGGATTCTAGTTCTAGTTCTAGTTCTAGTTCTAGATAAATAAAAACAAAAAAGTCAGATCGCATTTACATGCACGACAAAATTTCTTATATACATACATGCAAACATATGTATGTATATGATATGAATTGTTAGCTGTTGATTGCAGGCAATGTATCCTAAGAAAAAATCACATGCCCAAGACATTCTATCTTGGCATAACTGCACAAAAAGGAAGCATACCTTCACAATCTTGTATATGTCTGAACCTGCATGAGCTGTACCACCCCTCGCAATCCGACCAGCAGCTTTTGAACCACCACTCCTATTGCCCTCTGCCTGGTTCTTTTGCCTTGAAAATGTCTCCTGCAGCTTCATAAAATTATCCTCTTTAAACTGCTCATTCTCATCCACGACAAGGTACAAACCTGACCCACCCATGGGAAAAACATAATGTTGCAAAGGTGTGGGCCTGAAGTCTGTGTAGACAACATGACAAGGCTGCTTGTGAATATTACATATCCACTCAGCAAATTCTGTAGCATTTGACATGGTTGCAGAAAGAAAAACCATCTTAATTTGCGGAGGCAAGAATATTATGCTCTCTTCCCAGACCACCCCCCTTTCACGATCCTTCATGTAGTGAATCTCATCAAAGATAACCCATGCTACCTCCTTTATCACTTCAGAACCCCTATACAGCATCCCTCTGAGAATCTCTGTCGTCATGACCAAGCAGCTGGCATTTGGTTGGAGGGTGACGTCTCCAGTCATCAACCCAACATCTGTAAACTCGTGACTTAGCTCTCTATACTTCTGATTACTCAATGCCTTCAGAGGTGAGGTATAGATAACCCTCTGCTTGTCTCTAAAGGACATTGCAATGGCATACTCAGCAACAGCAGTCTTCCCAGCTGAAGTGTGTGCTGAGACCAAGACAGATTCATTCCTCTCCAAGCAAGCAACTGAGACACTCTGGAAAGGGTCTAGCTCAAATTCATAACATTTAGCCATGTTACCAGTGTAGGTGGGATTCGCAAGGGTTCCATGGATAGATTCATCTTTTGAAGATACATAGCCATTGGGAACAGCAACCTCATGAACACAAGTCCGGGATAGAGTTCGACGCTTTGGAGTAGATTCAGAACTTGCATTCCCACTGGAGAGTGCTTTCGTGATCTCTGTATCTTCTTCAGACAGTTTCCGCTTGCCTGGATTTGGAGCTTGTTCCATTGAAGCAAGAGTAGCAGAATTCCAAGTTTTTTTTTTTGTCGGGAAAGTTCACTGCTCTGAGAATGCCTTCCTAGTAATATAAAAGATATGCTGATTTAGGACAAGAATTTGACCTCAATTATACTTCTGGGGTTGTCAAGACATTTTGTAACAACAATACTAATAACAAGCATTCAAGTCCAAGCAATTTTAAATGTAAGCATACAGAAATTGAAGAACATGTGATAACTAAAACCATTATGGCATCACAAACAAAACTCTGAACGACAAATAAAAATCAATAAGCCTTGTAAGATAGACAATATTTCTGATGATATTGAAACCCCAACAACAAAAGAAGAAAAACAAAAATCTAAATGGCATTTCATGTAAGAATAATTACACATTAAAGCGCAGCAAAAGATATTGTGAAACAGAAGTAACCGTCAATAGAACATAGAACCTAAGAATTATTGCAGCACATAAGTATCAAATGGAAGCTATATTACAACAATATGTTAAACAACGAGGAACTTCAATTAAAATTTGAACATTACATATGAAATATTTATATTATCCTCTAGTGTATTGCAAAGCTAATAAGCTCTGGATTTAGCATTTCAAATACTAAGTTAGGGTTCTTGGATTTATATTGAGTCTACCACACTGAGCATGCTCGACAATCAACTAGGCCAACAATGAGCTAAGCCACCGCAAGCAATGATTATAAGAAAATACAAAGCAGTTTACAAACCAAATAAGATTCTAGCTCCATGACTCGAAAATGTTAAGAAAGGATTTCATTATCCCTTGGCATCAACGTGACCATTACAAGAAACCCTAGCTCGAGTACTCCACGAAAGCCCTAACCCTAACCCTAACAAGAGGAAGAGAGAGAAGAGGGAAGAGAATTACCTGAATCGAGACCAGGCAGCCGCTCGCTCCCGCTCTCCCGAAATTTTAATTAGGGTTTCGGTTCGGGTTGAGCGAAACGGAGGAAGGTGGCGGTGGGCGAGTTTAAATGGGTCTAATACCGGGTCGGGTTTGATAACCTGACCCGTTAGTCCATCCGGATCCAACTTTTTAAACCTCCCTCTAAATCATTTTGAGCGAAAATTGCTATTTTACAAAATTAGACCAGGAGCCTTAACTAGACTGTTATGGGCCTAAACTGCAAAATATGCAAAGCCCGCAGAGGTTAGTCCAGTAACCTTAACAATGGGCTGGGCATCTATAAAGAAGATATTCAAATAATAGAAAAAAAAGAAGATATTCAAATAATAGAAAAAGATGCAGTGATTTTTTTATTTTTTATTTTTTTGGTGTGGGGTGGTAATAGAAATGAAGATAACCTATAACTAATTGGACAGGATGCAAAAAATTTTTAAAGTAATTATTAATGTGATAGAGAGCTCTGAATAAATGCGTATTCAAACAATTATATATTTAAAAAACCTAGAAGAGTGGAAATTGTTCCAAGGAAAACTTAAAATGAAATATACCCTAGGATTATTTTTCTGAAGGATTTAATAAGCGGTATTATTAAAACTTACCTGCACCTTGTACAGCCTGTAGCCCTAACTTCCATGCATAATGGAACGCGGCTTTTTTCTCACAAAAATAAGCTTACCATCCAAGAGTTAAAATTGTGGGGTGCCTAGGAATTGAGGATCCAGCCCACTAAAGAAAATCAGGAAAAAGTATTGACATTTAAGCAATAAAATTATCTAATTTAAATAACCAAAAAGACGTGTGTTATGTCACAATATCATGAATACGAAAATGTGAAGCTTGATGCTGTGGTGACGTGGATTGTGCACATATAAAAATTGGATACGGAACAAATCACTACTTTTAATTCTTATTCATACTATAGTAATTTCAACAGTAAAATAATTACTGTAGTAATTTCAAAAAAATGCGAAGTGTTGTAGCAATCATATAAACTTATGATTGTTTTTATGAACAGTGACTCTATTACTATAGTATGCACTGTATCACTTTTCAAAATGTGAGATGAGGTAGCAATTCAAAAACTTACTGTAGCATTTTAAGAAACATGATTGTTGTAGCATAAAAAAAATTATCATCATGCTTTGCACGGACCGCAAACTAGTATCATGAATACGAAAATGTGAAGCTTGATGCTGTGGGGACGTGAATTGTGCACATATAAAAATTGGATACGGAACAAATCACTACTGTTAATTACAATGTATTTTTGGCTAAATAATTTCATAAACCCTTGCTCAACTTTTGTGTAAAATATAGAAAGAATATATTGGATATGAGTCATCGGTCTCCTTTCGCAGATTGGTTGCTAGGAGAGATAAAATGCTGGAGTCCATCTACGCTAATGTGGCTAACATGACGAGTCTCACCACTTATAGTCATAGATCTTTTGGCATCTTATTTAGCAAAATAAATTGTCACATTATATTCATATTCTCCATATACAAATCATGTCCTGACTTGAGGGACACATGAATTACATCTCAAATTTCTCTACATTCTATCTTCCCTTCGCCATTCTAAATAATGATGTTACGTAGATTCATGGTCATTTAGATAAATTGTCACATTATATTCACATTCTCCATATACAAATCATGCGCTTTGCACAAGCAAGATGGATTTCTCTTTCCTTCGCAGCTTCACTCCATAGAGGAAAAGAGAGTGCAATAAATGTCCAACTTTCGATCATCCTCTAGTGACTACACTGATTTCCAATTCTTTAGCTAAATAAATCATCACCATCATTTAAAGGATAGATAAATATCACTGAAAATGATTTTCCATCTGTTTCACCCCCTAATGATGAAGCCAAAGTTCAATAATTATCCAAGCTCTCTGGCATTCTCTTTACTCCTCGTTTCGTTGAGAATCGAGTAAAGTGATAATGAAACGAAGAAGAAAAGAATGTAATAAAATTAATGCCAGAATGGAATGTTTATTTCCATTCTCACATTTGAGTACAATTTAAACATGAAGTGAGAATGAGCATATCTGAAAGTCTTATGTGATTGTTTGATTCCTACTTAAGTGGGAATGCCTATTCCCTAACATCTCATTAGGAATGCTCATTACCACATAAAGTGTGAATGAGAGGGAAAGTGTGTGGGAATGAACATTCTAAGTTTCTAACTTCCAAAATAAGGTCGTGTTTAGTACATGATAAAGTAAGAGAGAGAGAGAGAGAGAATCTTGGGTAAATTTCCCTTAAATTGAATATTAAGTGTGCACATATATTTATACAAGTAGAGAAGTGTGAGGTTTGTTCTCCCAAGCAATGTGGGACTAAAACCCACTACAATACACTATTATCAACAGCCCCCTTCAAACTCATGTTGGATCAAACAAAGTGAGTTTGCGTACAAGAAACTGGAACCGATGAACAGGTAAGGCCTTTGTGAAGAAATCTGCAAGCTCGTCAGCAGATGGAACATGAGGAAGTAGAATTGTCTTGTCCTTGATAACTTGGTGACGGACAAAATGAGCGTCGATCTCAATATGTTTGGTCCTTTCATGAAATACTGGATTATTAGCAATCTGGATGGCACTCTTATTATCAGAGTAGAGAGGAGTAGGAGTCGTAACAGAAATGCCGAAATTACTGAGAAGGCGACGAAGATGAATAATCTCTTTATCTGTTGTGGACATTGCACGATACTCTGCCTCAATACTAGAAAGAGTAATAACATCTTGTTTCTTACTTCGCCAGGAAATAAGGGAATCACCAAGAAATATACAATAACTTGTGGTAAACTTTCTGGTAGTTGGATCACCAGCCCAATCAGCATCAGAATATGCACAAAGCTCTAACTTAGATGTAGCAGGAAACAAAAGTGAGCGAGTGCTAGTACCCCGGAGGTACCGAAGAATCCGTAATAAGACAGCATAGTGTACAGAACGTGGGGCACTAACAAATTGACTGACAATACCAACAGCATGAGAGATATCTGATCGAGAGATGCACAAATAGACTAACTGGCCAACAAGATGTCAATATCGGGTAGGATCAGATAGAGGCTCACCGTCAGTAGAGCAAAGTTTAACATTCTGCTGGAGTGGAGTATCGACAGTTGCATTATCAGTTAGCTCAGCTTGATTTAGAATATCTGAGAGATATTTCTGTTGAGACAGTAATACACCCCGCGGGCCTTGAGAAATTTCTAGACCAAGAAAATACCTAAGAGATCCAAGATCCTTCATGTGGAACTATTGTTACAACTGAGATTTTGCGTATTGTATACCTGTCATATCATCACCTGTAATGATCATATCATCTACATAGATGAGTAATAAAACTCTGTCACGCGATGTAGTGCGAACAAACAGAAAAGCATCTTGATAACTTTCTATAAAGCCCGCTTTGAGCACGACATCGCGAAAACACTCAAACCAAGCGCGGGGTGCCTACTTGAGACCATAAACAGCACGACGAAGGAGACATACATGTCCCGGAGGAATATTTGACCCTGGAGGCGGTTGCATATATACGGTCTCTGATAAAGAGCCATGAAGAAAAGCATTTTTGACATCCATCTGGTATAAGGGCTAACGATGAGCAGCAGCGACCGCAAGGAGAGTACGAATAGTTGGCATCTGAGCAACAGTAGCAAAGGTCTCCTCATAATCAATACCTTGTTGCTGAGTAAAACCTCGAGCCACTAAACGAGCTTTTCGACGTTCAATGGTGCCATCAGGACGAAACTTGACCTTATAAACCCATTTACTGCCAACAAGAGAGATCCCAGGAGGACAGGGAACAACATCCCAGGTATGAGTTTGCTAAAAGGCTTGAAATTCCTCAGTCATAGTCTGTCGCCACTCTGGAATTTGAACCGCCTCTTGGAAGGACTTTGGCTCAACAATAGTATGAAAGGTAGCAAGAAAGTTATGAAAGATAGGTGAATAAGAAGTAACAGAAGCATACCGGTTAGGCATGACATGTGGGCGTTTGCCTCGACGAAGAGCAAGAGGAACCTCAGGCGGGGGAGACGCTGGCGCAGGTGCGTGGAGATCAACAATATTTTCTGGAGTGAGAGTTGTGTCCACGGGATATGGATTAGATGGTGTAAGAGAAGACTCCGGTGAGGAAGAGTCAACAGAAGGAGAGGGAGAGATGTCAAGGAGATCTCGAAAGGAAAATTGAGGTGAAGAAGTGGGTGATGCAGTTGACGGGGAAGCATGATCAGTAGAGTGGAGGAAATTAAAGTCATCAGAAGCAGAATAATATGGAGAATCCTCTTTGAACTGAACATGACGAGATATATGAACTCGACGAGTTGCGAGATCATAACAACGATAACCTCGATGTTCTGAACTAATTCCTAAATAAACACAAGAAACAGCTCTGGGAGACAATTTATCACGTTCGTGAGATGGCAGAAGAACAAAACATCAACAACCAAAAACGCGAACTAGATCATAACGGGGAGGATGAGTATAAACACGACTATAAGGAGTAGCACCGGAAAGAGAGCTAGATGGAGTGATATTAATGGCATGAGTCGCGGTGAGAATAGCCTCAGCCCAGAAACGACGAGGAACAGAGTAAGAAATGAGCATTGATCGGGCAGTATCAAGGATATGATGATGTTTGCGTTCAGCAACACCATTTTGCTCATGAGTGTAGGGACATGACTGTTAAAAGATAGTCCCATGAGAGGACATGATAGAGCGCATGGTAGAGGATAGGTACTCTTTGGCACAATCAGAACAAAAAACTTTAATACGAGATTACTATTGAGTGAAAATCATGGCAGTGAAGGCTTGATAAGCAGTAAGTATGTCAGAGCGATTCTTAAGTAAGTAAACCCATGTAAAACGAGAGAAATCGTCGATAAAGCTAACATAATATAAGTAGCCAGATGAAGAAGGTAAAGGAGCTGGCCCCCAAATACCAGAATGTACTAAATCAAATAAGAAAGTGGATACGGATGTACTCATTTTAAATGGTAAAGCAGTGAATTTAACTAATTTGTAACCAACACATGACTCAATACTAGAACTAGATGATACAGGACCAAGT